AAATCTGTCGAATAAACCACCGATCGAACAAAATTCAAAACATTGGATCATCAAAGAGAATTTATATCCATATGAATTATTGTGAGGTGAGAGTGTATGTGTATGTATGTATATGGCATGAGAACATACAATGTTTAGACGACGTAGCCGCTGACAATAGTATTATAAAAATGTTGGAGGTTAGAGCAAATATATATGCCCAACCACCAAAACAAGTAAAAAGGCATATATACTGTATACATCTCTACTACCTTTTCATTTGATTTACATGAATTGCAATTTCCTACCAAACACGCATATGCATACGCATGTATGTAATCTTTTGCTTTGACTATATAAGTAGAGTCTACTTGCTCATATTTTTCTATAACTTCTTCCAAAGCTTTCTTCAAACTAAGAAAAAACAAAATAATATGATTTCTCTCATTCATATTCCACGAAAGAAAGGGAGACTAAAACGAGTGCAACGGTAAAATATTATTCTTTTAGTTTTGGTAAAATATTATCCTTTTGATTAGTTGATGAATATTTTGTTACTTTAACTTTTTTCTATAAAGGTTACGTTATTGCGTAGTGTTGATATAGTTGCAAAATTTGTAACAAATAATACCTCTTATTTAGGATTTAGTCTTTTTTATACCATCACAATATATTTGACCTAACTTTACTTTAATATCTCAGCCATATATCATACGTAATTGATCGAATTGGATTTTGTGCTGATATTAATCAAGCTAAGATAGTGCAATGGTTCATAGTACTTTTACTATAATAGTACTAGCTAATAGTGTAATACGAATTTCGTTCAGTAGTTAAGATTAGCTATACAAAACTGTTGTTATATATTTTTGATCATGTGCCTAAACATTTTGGTGTGTTTATTTTTTCCCTTCCGCAGGTCGATACCAATTACTCTCCATGGAATACTCATTTGAGCAAGATGTTGGCATGAAATTGCAGTGGTGAAGGACGAGCTGAATCTATATCCGAGGTGTCTCGACCTCGATCCTTCACCTCGATATTAAAAGCATAGTCTGAATCTCATTATCAGCTATGTATATGAAGAATGAATACATGTCTAGAAAATATAGCTTTTAGTAATGTTGTGATCTCTATTAATCGTCTAAAATAGTTATCTTATATGTTTAAGTCGGTTTCAGAAGTTAAATTTGCAATCATTTAGGGGTGGGGGGAAGGATCGGTATAGCTAGAATCTTTCTTTTTAACATGTAAATAGTTATTATGACTGCGAAAATAAAATATGTTATTCTTTTTTATATTTTTAACCATGGATCTCTTCTCCCAATATGTACTTAGATGTCCTCTCTCAAGTATATTGGCAAGCATAAGCTTGAGGGGTTGCTTCGAATGTGGAAAATATTAGTTTCGTGTTTACCTCTAATTAACCATCAAGGCATCGATCAAACGTTATACCATCCAAGAATATCAGGAAAACGTGAAATACTTACTTAACATTATAAATTGTACAATGTTTTACTTGATTGCTTTTATTTTGATCTTCAAAACTCTTTCTGAAGGTTTTGGGAATAATTGCCAATTCGGAAATCTTAACTTTGGGGACTAGAAACGGGCTTGATCCATCTTCGGATACTATTCTGGTTCACTAGCCCAATTCGTAGCCAACACACAAAACTGAGATTTTTCATCCTTTCATTTTTAAGTGAATTTTTTTTTTGGGAAAGATTAATTAAGTATTGAAAATAAAATAAGTTTTAGTTAGTCTTATGTAAAACAATGAAACATGCAAACGAATATCTTAACAGTATCATTTAGTTACATTTTACTGGTTTACATCGTTTAACTTATAAAGAATATGCATTCTGTTTTATAATTATAAAAGTTATTTGATATTTTTCACTTCAATAATAAAAAAAAATCATTCTCTTATACTCTTTAAAGTCAATTTGACTCTTTATATTCTTATATACACTTGGGGTTAAACTAAGAAATTTATACCAAATGGTATTGAAAACTTAAAATAATTAACACTTATTATAAAACATACAAATAATCTTAAAATAACATTCTTTGTGAAACAGGAAGTACAAAACATCTAATATTGAAATTTAACCGTTACCATTTCAACGTAATAGTCATCGTGGATAGGAGAAAGAATCTTGAAAACTTGATTAATATATTCTTCTTCCTATAAGACTAATACACAATGTCAAACTTGGTTGATCAAATCCTAATCTCATTTAAGAGAAGATTAAAACAAGATAATAATAAAAAAAAAAAAGATTAAAACAAGATCATCCCGTAGTACGTACTATCGTTTTTATTATTGTTCAAATCAGAGATTTTTGCTAATTATTTGTACGTAAATGTATGATAAATTTAGAATGAACTAACACTATACAATTACTAATTAGGTCTACTCGAATATTCCCTATGCATATAACATTAATTTAATATGAGAAAAAGCGTTGCTTAATTATATGTTTATGTTCCCATGTTTTGATCTGATCATAATGGTCCTAAAGTAAGTATCAAGAGCTGTTTAGTTTAGGCTTTTGATGACTGCGAAAGGTCGCATAAGATCTTGCTTTTAAGAGGTTAACCCATCCCTATCTATTAATTAATCATATCTTAAAGAAACCCTAATCTGATTCCTGTTCTTTTGGATCTATCATCAGATTATTATTATATATAACCTTACACATACACAGAATCAAATAAATATTTGAATATTACTGAAGATTTGAAATAGATCAAACCGCCTTATCGGGAACGCCACAATGGCCATTATCTATATTCAAGTTTCCCAATGGTACTCTTCCTATTTCATATAAAGTTGTTTTTTTGCTAAAATTCATATAAAGTTGTTAGTAAAGAAAATATTAAAATCCCTCTATTTAATGCTAAATAACTTAATACACATATATTCATTCGATATCATTTAGAACAATGTAGTAGAAACCCACATGGCCAATAGAGCCACATGTTTACATGGTTGGACACAATTTTTATTGAGGTGATGATAGAAAACCATAGGAACCAATATAATTAATATCACAATTGCAGCCAAATTTAACTGTAAAAATCAAGAACTGTTAGAATCTGCATGGATACTCAAAGGGTGCAAATTCCTCAAGGCCACTTCTTCGGAAGCCTTTCTCGCATAAAGTAACATTTCTTTACAACATAGATGCATCGAGTCACATATTAAAATTTATTTTTGATCTTTCAGGACTATATACGTAACGTTCTTTTCTTTTTTTGGGTTTAAATATATATGTAACGTATGCTATTCTTATTGTTATAGATTGGGATTAAATATTTGATAGATGATAAAGATTAAAGATGGTTGTGGCTGCTCATCATGTTTTTTTAAAAAAATTGTTCTTCCTAAATAACCATAACCAAAGGTCCAAAACTAATGAACGATGCGCCAATCTTAGTTACCTTTACTCTTTAGCCACTACAAATAATTTTTTCAGTGGCAAGAAGACATGTATTTAAAAAGAAAAAGTAAAGGCAACTAGTAAAGAACAATATATAGTATACACTTCTACGAGAAGGAGCCCAACGTGCCCAACAAGAGAATACTATATTATGTTTTCTATAGAAATGCTGCAAGTTATGCTCTTCAGATTCCGGCATATTCGTCCCATGAATAAAGTCTATATAACAACAACGTGGCCGACAGACATATACTGATCAGGACGATGATCGAACTTAATATAATTTGTGACATTTCATTTTAAGTGGCTAAAGTTTCCTAGCTAAGAAAATGTACCAATAAAAAGATTGTATTACGATTCTTGTAACAGGGTTTAGTGGAGTCCACCTCAGACAAATTTTAGAACATTGTCTATAAAAAAGCCTGGAAGAGTCAAAACTATGTGGTCGGGTACATTCACTCAAGAAAAATCGCATTAGCTTAATCATTTATAATCTGATCAGATTCAAAAGTTAATACCTTTGATAGTGTGGAAGGTGATCTCACACAATAGACTTTTAGAACAAGCAACATACATATATAAAGAGATACGTAACAGTGATTTTCATTAAATTCACATTTTGTTATAAGATACGTAAACATAAAGTTAAAAAGACATATGATTATAGTACCAGTGAGAAATTACATGGAGTAATAGGATATTTAGTACATTTTGAGAATTTAATTGGGGAAGTAATACATTTACTATTCAAAATTGGCAAAGTAGTACATTTGTGAGATAGAGAATTTGAGAGATAGAAAAAGAAGGAGAAAAAAAATGACAAGGGAGGGCATTTTTTTTTTGTTTTCTGATTTTCGTTTTTTTTTTTGTTTTTTTTTGTTTTTTTTTTTTTATTCTTTTAAATATTCTTACCCCAACATTCTAATAACTAAAAATTCTTGGTTTTGTAATTTTTTTTCAAACTTTTTTTTGATTCACAAAAATCTATGTTTTTTTCTCAATAATTTGATATGCATTTTGCTTAGTATAGTTTAAATATATTTCATAAGTATATATTTTTTTGTACACTTTAGCATATGTACAGACGTATTTGTACAATTTAGTATATGTACAGACGTTTGTGTACACTTGATTAGATGTACAGAGTATATGTACAGACGTATTTGTACAATTTAGTATATGTACAGACGTTTGTGTACACTTGATTAGATGTACAGAGTACCCCGTACAGCTTGCTATATGTACGCATGTATAAAAAATTACACATTTTTATCTGTACAACTACTATGATATATGAATTTATGCATATTTATGTACATATTCGTACACTAATATGTTGTACGGATGTTATTGTGTAATATTTTTATTATTGTACAAATATATGTTTTTACACTTCTGTACATAAAATATGATGTACGAATTATATTATATAATCATTATATAATTATTCTAATAGCATACTTGTAAATAATATGTTTTTTGAGTGCTTAAAGGTCAACCAAATAGTAGCAAATAATGATAATGTACTAGTTTCCTAATTGTAAATAGTGATTGTACTAGTTCTATAATTAAGTTTCAAAAATGTACTACTTCTCCAACACACCCAAATTACATTTATCCTGTGTAGTAGTGATATATAGATCTAGTCTCACTCCAAACATCTATCTATATATATACACTACTCTTTCAATGTCTATAATTTTTCCTTCATTTTAATTAAAAAAAAACACAAAAATTGAAATATACAAAAATTTATGATATTTTTGCATCTTTCGTCTTGGTACGAGTAGAAGAAGACATCGCTGATGAGCTACACCTAAGACTTCCTTTGTTAGAGCATCTTGATCTATCTTCGGAACTCATCCTACTAAAACTGGAATGGCTCGGCCACTCGGAAGGCAATGGACTAACCATAGGCCCATATATCCCGGGGGTGGTCTTAGCCGATGCGACGATGGTGTTGCCCGTGGAGTGGTTAGTCTGTGGTACCCATATTCCTCCGACGACCACGAAATGTTGCGTTTGAGAGTCTCTGTTGTTAGGTGTTGTTTGGCTTGGCCGTCTTGCATGCAGCCTATATTTCTATTTATCATCAAGAAACCAAATAAAACAATGAATTCTCCTTCTGTTTTGATTCTTTCTATATGTAATGTTTTTAACCAAAATGATGAAATATTTGTATATATTATACTTTGAATAATTCTACATAAAATATTTATTTACAAATAAATAAAAACACGAAAAATCAGTAAAATATTTGGTATGAAAATGAAGGATATAACTAGTAATATTCTGTGAAGAAGGTCATTAACAGCTTTTTATACGGACAAGGTTTACTGCACTCTTAAAGATACACGTGCGCATGTGTCTTAATATGGCAAAAACTATAGTTTTATTTCTTTTACCATTTATGGAAATTACTATTTTTTTTTTTCATGTACGTATGAGGTGATTTACTAACCTGTAAATGACTCTTGACTTCATCATTGGTTAACCCATCAACCTTCATTAGCTCTCTTATTTGTTTCGGCGTAGCTACTTTAAAATTTAACCAACCAAACAAAAAAAAAAAAACAAGATTGATACGAATTAGTTAAACTTCTTGAGCAGTATAATTAAAAAAAAAATGATTAGTGAAACGTGTTACTAATTAAAATCAAGAAACTCACCATGAGGACCACCAAGTTGTTTAAGAGCGTTCAAGAATCGTCTGTGTAATTCTTGTGACCAACATCGCCTATTTTTTCTCTGCCCTCTTCCGTGATCACCATTCCTAGTATTCTCCGGTAGTTTGGTGTTATTGTTTTTTCTTTCTTCTCCGCCATTTTTGTTTAACACTTCCACCTGCGACTTCGTATTATCTTGTGAGCACTCCTGAGGAAATAAAAGCTATTAATTATAAACTTCTAAGAAATTTTCTTGTTGCACCATCTTTTTCATACTATCTTTATATTGTTTACATATAGGAAAAAAACTTGCACTTAAGTTATTAGCAACTAGGAAATAAACTTTTTAAATTCAATTGTATAGTTTGCGTTTGTAATCACTTTATTTTTTTTTTTAATCAGCCTGTTATAATTTTGAGGAGTTTCAAAAAAATTTAAACGTAAAAGTTAAAATATATGTAAAATTGAAAGAAAACAAATTGTATCGAAACATGAATTTTTATTTTTGATGTAATTAGATACGATAATTTATTTGTCAACATGATAACTAAAGTCAAAATATGATATTTATGTATCTTCGAAGTATACATATATAGATATCAGATACATTTAAACTTTCAAATTTCACATTATTTAAATGCCTCAAGAACCAAAACCAATTATTAAAATTTTACCTGTCTCTTAGACACAACTGCGTCGGATTGGTTCCAAAGCTGAACAGACTTGAGCCAGTCAGATTTCATGTTCTTGTCACTGAAATCTATGTCGGTCTCGGTTACATGAGAATCATGTTGATGATCATCCTCATCATCATCAACATCTTTATCGTCAACCTCTTCTACGGAGGTCGAAGAGTGTCTGAGAGGTATGAACAGATCCAAGACGCGCCCACATTCTCCGGTGGTCTGCTCCGAGCACTCTGATTGTCCGTACAAGTTCTCTGTCGTCGTCCCTGATATCTCCCTCTTATACGCCTCGATCGCTAGAAATATGTTTCTTAAAAGATTTAGATCTAAAGACTAATCCATAATTATATAGATCTCACAATATCTTAAATGAAATGTAAATGTACATGTGTAAGTGTATGCATAGAGTTACATACCTCGAGTAACGAGCTCTAAGCAAAGAGGAAGCTCGCGTTGGAAGACATTGATCTTGCGACGTTCAACTTCAAGAGCTTCGATGTACTCACGTTTGTGGTTGTGATTCTTGATATTGCTTAAGTTCTTAATCATGGTTGGTTTAAGGGACAACAATACAAATCCAGCTTTGTTTTAGAAATATAAATTAAACTTATAATAAAAAAGTTAGTCAAGAAGAGATGAGGATATGTCTCTTTATAAAGACAACATATATATGGCTAATGGCTCTATAGGGTTTCTCAAGGATCATTATTTTGAGAGAGAGAGAAGTCGGGCCGTCGCATTACAAAGGCGAACCTTCCTTTTGTTTATACAATACGTATATACCTTCACTAATTATTGTAATATTTTATAATGATTGCAAATATTAGAATATGAAGGAGATTTTTTTTTTTTTTTTCCTTTTCTTGTTGTATAGTAGTAAATTGTATGGATCCAGTGGTGAATATTCGCCGATGTGAATCCAAATTTATAAGTAGGAACTTCATAATATCAATTTGGGTGTATCATCAGGGTGGATTCTCACATATATATGTATAGTTAAAACGTGTATAACAACATTCCCAAAAAAACAACAGAAATCGAAATTTTCGAAGACTATGAAGTATAAACATTGTTTTCACATACAAACTCCTTTCTCCATCTACTCTTCGACAAGTTTGATTATTTCATTTGTAACATTTGGTACGTGGGAACATAATATGCAAAATCCTAAATAAGCTGGCATAAAAACCTAAACGTGCATGAGATCTTTTTGTTCTATAAATATTAATTTCATCTACACAAATTCTATATATATAAAACGTTGAAAATACATTTGCAATATTCCCAAATATGAAAAGCCAAATGTCTCTTCGTAGACAGCCGAAACATGGGAGAAGAAAAGCCATTAAAAAAAAAAAACCATGTTATATACTTGTTAAAATGTCATAGGACCTTGAGACTTTGTTGAATTCGTTATAGCCTTATCCATAAATACACATATTAGTTTTTATGTGTGCATATCCACATTAATATGAATATCAATATTTTATGTCTTTTGACCAGTAATTTTGATTATGTCAAGACTACTAAAACCAAAAATGCGAATGTATCTTTCCAGTATAATGGCCTGCCTATGCTCTTTCCCAATCAAAGATATATACTTTCTCTATTTTATAAAGAATGTCATTTTAACACATTTCACACAAATTAAGAAAACATTAAAATATAAATATATATCCTTATTTAATAAATGATTAATGGTTTAATTAATTATAGATTAAGGATAAAATTTGGAAATCTAATGTAAAAAAATGCATTGAAAATGTAGAATGACACTTTTTGTGTAACAATTTTTTTTCTTTAAAATGACACTAGTACTCTTTCTGAAACAGAGGGAATACTATTTAATAGTATAAGATCAATTTATATGCTACTAGTCGGTTGCCCGCGCTACGCGCGGGAGTTTATTACATTGTTTATGAGTATTTAGTTCGTATTTTATTTTCTACTTAAATTTTTCACTATACTATACTTTTTTTTAACTTAGATTATGTTTGTATAGAAAACCTATTGAGTTTTAGCTTCATTAGTTGTTGAAAAATTAAGTGTGTATAGTATAAGGTGAAGTGTGAGTGTAAACGGAAGTGCGGTGGAGAATCATTGAGAAACTCATAAACATGTGCTATTAGGGTTTTTACCAGATATAGATATAGATGTTAATATTGTGGGCCTTTTTAATATGTTGGCCCGAAATTTGAAAATGATTTGTGGGTTTCGGGTGGATTGTTGTATTTTTTATTGTTTATATTATCTCTTTATATATTGTCGTAAGTTTTTTTTGTTTTACATTTTTTTTTGGATTTGACGTAATTTATATCTCGTTATGATCATTTTTATACTATTATATATTTGTTTCTGATTTTATGTTTTATATATTTTTCGTTTTTTCATATGGAACAATTTTTAAATTTAACATATTAGTATAATTTAATTTATATTTGGTTTATTTCATTTAATATTGTTTATTTATTTTAATTTTAAATTTTATTAAATATAGTTAACTTTTTGTTTTGTTTATTAGTTTAACATATGTGTTGTATTGGAAAATATTAGTTAAATTCATATTGGAAACCTTTAAATAATTTTTTGGTTTTTTTACCTTTTTATATGTTTTTTTAAATGATAATTCATGTTTCGTTCCTACCTATCTCATTTATGTTGGAAAATTTTGTGAGACATAAATTAGATAGATTTATATACTCAAAATTTCTTACTTTTTGTTCTATTCCCGTTAAATCTCATTATAATTTAGGTTTAAATTGTTTAAATATAATAGAATTTTTTGTCATATTATTTTTAATTGATATATATATATATATATTTTAAACACTTCAAAACTATAATCTATTATTTATATATTTGTTAGTATAATCGATAATTAGTAAGTTTTTTATAACTTTTTAATCAATTATCATTTTTAGTTTTATAATGTATAATATAAGAAAAGACTTTTCATATTCTTTTTTGGAAAACTTATTTACATAGGTCTAAATCTTAAAATTATATGATAAAATGATATAATTAATTTTAAAATTAAATAATAAAATGAGGTGGATGATGATTAGGATGATGATGTGGCTTAAGGAGAAGAGAGAAAAAGATAACTTTATATATATAGATGCTGTTGTTTTATCCATATTATTTGAAATTGTATATGGACTTAAATGTGATTAAGAGCTCTAATAGCTGTCAACTTTAATGATATAGAAAAAAAACTGTCATCTCTATAGAAATTAGTGTTGTAATGAGCTGATTTGTTCGGGTTATGTTTTTGAATAATTGACCTAAACGATAACCATAACCATCCGTATTAGCCTAGGGGCGATATGCACATTTTGATTTTCATTTTCAATATATCTATAAAAAAAATTGTCAAACACTCAACATATATATTTTGGCAAAATTTTCGTTTCTAAAGTTAGTATTTTATTTTTCTTGAATATATATATATATAGCCAAATTCAGGGTTCAACATCTAATTATTAATTTTTATGAAAGTAAATATTATTTATATTCTTTTTTTTGACCAAATAATATTATTTATATTCTAAAGTATATAGATAGTTGTCTGCCTTAGTGGAAATTTTGGTCGTCTTCAGAAATCAAATCTGTGATTAACGGGCTTATCTGTTTTGATCAGATTGAAATGTGAGTTTTTAATTTAATAAATTAGTTGGCAAGTAGAGTTTAGAGATGTACTATATTACTGTTGGATCATATAATTGTCCCCTCGGAGTCTGAAAAGGCCATATTCTCACATACACTGACCTAGCTAGGCCAACAATAAAAGACGCCTTAATGCTGTATTATCTATTGAACCCAATAAGCATAATATGAATGGCCTTATGTATGTTTCTTACTTGGGCTCTATCTATATACCAACTAAATGTGTTTCTCTCGTATTGATTACTAATATCAATGAAAACATTAAGGCTATCACAAAATTGGTTGTCGACCTATGGACTTCATCTTGGCCACAACTCGTGATTCCCTTGTTCACGAACTGACATATATAAACTACAGAAACTAGGTGACAATATTCAAATGTCGCCAACCTGTACGATCTTACCAAAAGCATAGAAAATATACCGGATTGTTTGAAAATGTACCAAAACATAGAATATATATCAAAATTATCGAAATAACTGGAATTTAAACCCAAAAAAAAACTTTATAAATGGTGTTTTGTTTTCAATTTGAAATCCATAATTTTTACATGAACCGTTTCAAGATTTTATCACTTTTAAACCAAACTTCGAATTTTCGCTAATTTTGGCAAGAATTTTCATAAACCGAAGAAATCGAATTTTCAAACAAAACTATAGACCGATTGGCCTAGTAGGTGGATTACTTATTTTAGTTTCCAATTTTAGTGCCAACAGCAAAAAGCGTTAAAGGGTTGGTTAACGCAATTAACACCAAAATTGTAAGCAAACAAAATCTAGCATTAACTCCACTACCATAAGTTCATAACTGTCTAAATATGTTAAGTAGTGTACTACTAGCATTTTAAACCGTGAGATCTATTCTTCATTTAATTTTAAAAAAAAAAGATTATAGTTTTTCTTTTTAAAATTTTCAAGTTTTTCATGATTCATAGCTTAGCTTCAAGTCAATATTAATTTTAAATATATAGATATTAAAAGAGAGAAAATTAAAAAAAATAAGAGTTCTAAAAATAAATATGAACTTTGATGAATAGATGATTAAATTTATGTGAATAATATCAAAACTATACTTAGATGTAATCATGTAAAACGTTTACTCTGAAACGAGTACCACTTCCACGTTGTAATTTGTGTAAACTAAAAGACCAGTCGTATACGTAAAGAAAAGAACAAAGTCAAGTCTAAATAAATATTTTATTTCCACAACACAGCATTTACTAAAACTCATACAACTCATCAAAAGATTCGATTACAAAACCAAACCTTATTAAAAAAAAAAGATGTAATAATCAAACCCACGACAAAAACACATTAATTAGTAAAGTTTCTTATGGTTGCTCCAGGCTCCGTCGCCTTAGCTTCCGGCGACGGTTTCACATCCTTCGACGGCGTAACAGCCGTTCCCGTTAGCTCCAAAGGCAAATCCTTAGCCAACCCTTTAAGGTAAAAAGTGTAGAACAGTTTCGTCGGGTACACAAGCTGTTGAAGCTTAACTTGCCCGTACGCACCTTCAAAGATTCCAGAGCCACCAGTGACGGCTAAGAACGTGTCCTGGTAAGTCAAGTACTGTCCTTGTACGGACAAGTGACCATAGTCACCGAAGTAGAAGCTGTAATTAGCTTCGAATCTGTCGCCGCTCTTTTCAGGAACGTGTTGGATCAAGACGCAGAGTCCTGCGGTGATCCCGACGCGTTTCTTGAGATCTCCGGTGTAGAGTTTGTTTGTGAATGGTACAAGATCTCCGAGACAGAGCTCTGTTGGTTTCTTACCGAGTTTTAGAACTGCTGGACTGTTTCTGTCTCCTTCGTTTAGCTCGTACACGTTCAGTTCTTGGATCTTACCTGAATCAAGAACTCGAATTTTATGAATTGGGTATTTGAATTTGACCTTAAAGTTTTGTTTTTTAATACCAAATTGATCTTTGATTTGTCGGAATGTATGAATTTACAGAAGAAAAACGTCAAATCTTTGAATTGGGTATTTGATTTTGAGCTTAAAGTTCGATCCTTTACACAAAATTTGATCTTGATTTGTCGAAATATATGAAGTGTAGTTAGATTAATTGATCATTTTGAATAGTGGGCTAATGTAAAGGATCAGTCTTTAATATGAGAATTATGGTTATAGTTTACTTACTTGGTCTGGAGGTTTCAGTCTTCTTTCCCCAGTTCCAGAAGAAAGCACGAGTAACGTTGAGGTTCTTGGTAGTAGATCTCGATCGGGAGAAGAAATCTGGACCGTTGGATGAGATTCCAAGGTTTTGGAAAGATCTTGAGAAACCCACAAGAGAGCTGCGGTTCAAGTGATGGTTACGAGAGAGATTGTTGAGAGTTGTCATAGAGATGGATTCAAGAGACATAGCAGCAGAAGAAGAAGCCATTGATCAAGAAGACTTTTGGATACTTTTGATATGATAGAAGTATAAAGGCTTTGGTTCTTTGTGGTTGTTGAGTTAAAGTAATGAGTCTTAAGGCTACGGATGTGTATTTATATTTGACGATGGTGAAGTTACACGTGCGTGTATATTTGAAACAGTGTTTTTCTAACGAAAGATGCTTTGTGAAGTTTCCCACTCGGTTTCGATGATGGTCTAAAAGCGTACGCTAGAGAATTTTAATGTGTTTGTTTAATTGACTTAAAAAAAAAGCGTGTTATAATAATGTTAAGGAGTACGAGATCTCACAGTAATGTGAATATACTAAATAGTCAAAAGATAAACATGAGTAGATATGTTTTCAAACTTTTATCGATCAGCATGTTTTAGTGAAGATAAATAAGGTGGTCGGTTGTGTCTATTTCCTATGTGTACACTTTAAATAGTTCTATGATCACGAACAAAATCAAATTGATTTTGAAGTTCTTTGTGCATTCGTGAAACATGGAGTTTACTAATCCAAAATATATTAATGTGTACTTCATAATACAAATAGTTTAAATTTTTATTTTCTTTGGTGTTTCTTTGTTGCCCTCTTGAAAGGCTATGTTCTAGGTGTATCCTATTGAAACAAGGTTAGAGAATTCTCAAACTAAAACTCGCCAGCTTGCTAACCTTTTAGTGCAAATTAACTGCATCAATACCCACTGATGCGTTAGAGCCATTTCCACTATTTAAAACAATTTGACCATTTTATGATCAGGACGTCTTTATTTTTTTTTAAGTCTTTTTTGACCATATTTCATTTAATAAAAATAAGAAAAAGGAAATTCAAGATATGAACAACTTAATATGTGAGAATTTCTTTCAAAGAAAATCAAAATATGAATCCTTATATATGAGAATTTGGAAGAAAATAATCCACATTTCCCTTGACTGGTTACACCTCTGCCCACCTCACTTGAACCAGACTTGGATGTGCTTCCCAGAGCTTCTACTTTTTCTCTAAATAATTTGCTTTTGCCGAGCTGAAATAGAAATACTTTCAAATTGATGATGTAGGTGTATAAGCTATTTTAGAGATGGTTTATTCATCTTTTAAGAAGCATTAGGCTCTTAACAAATTTTAAAGCTAAAATATATTAATAAATTGTTTTTATATAAGAATCGTTCTTAACATTTTATAGACCATCAATAATGATGTCTTAGTCCCCCTTGTTTTTGAAGGTATAGACTTCAAACAATACTATGATGTTTATCAAAAAAAACAATACTATGATTGAAAAACTAGGATACTAAAAAATCGAGGGTCCAGGAGTTTTCTAAAACGTGGTGGATCCTAATTTCATATCATCATGACATCATGTATAGATTTTTTTGTTTTGTTTAATCAGCAACCTGTTTAAATTAGTGTTTGATGGAGAGAACTCATAATCATCGTCAACTATTTGTGGAAACAAGAGTGTGACATGTGTGGATCAACTTTGCCATCCCATCTTTTTCTATCAATGTCATCCATAAATTTTGCCATACAATTTCTTATGATTATTTTATATGCGGCGACAAAAAAGAAGAAAAAAATCAAGAAGATATTTTATTCCCCACAATGATTCGATGAATACAAGAAACAATAACATAAAGATTAGTTTCATGAATTAATTAGTAAAGTTACTTATAACTCCGCTAGGCTTCAGCGCCTTAGCTTCTGGCGCAGGCTTCACGTCTTTAGACGGCGTAACTGGAGTTCCGGTGAGCTCCTCAGGCAAATCATTAGCCAACCCTTTAAGGTAAAAAGTGTAGAACAGTTTCGTCGGGTACACAAGCTGTTGAAGCTTGACCTGTCCGTACGCGCCTTCGAAGATCCCTGTACCACCAGTGATGGCCAAGAACGAGTCCTCGTAAGTCAAGTACGGTCCTTGTACGGACAAGTGGCCGTAGTCTCCGAAGTAGAAGCTGTAAGTGGCTTCGAATCTGTCACCGTTCTTCTCGGGAACGTGTTCGATCACCACGCAGAGACCAGCCGTGATGCCAACACGCTTCTTGAGATCGCCGGTGTAGAGTTTGTTTGTGAATGGGACTAGGTCGCCGAGACCGAACATTAGGCTCATTGCGTTTTTAAGAATCTTTGGGCTGTGTCTATCTAACTCGTTGAGTTCGTACACGCTTAGTTCTTGAACTTTACCTGAAAACAAATAAAAACAAAACTCAAGTTTAGAATTAGGTTCTTGATTTTTGAGGTATGGTGTCATTACTTAAGTGATCAAGTTTTGGTTTTAAGCTAAAACTTACTTGGTCTGGAGTTTTCAATATTGCCGTTCTGGGAAAGAGCTCGAGTAGGAGTAAGGTTCTTCTTGGGAGTGAAACTTGATCGAGAGGAGAAATCTTGACCGTTAGATAAGATACCAAGATTCTGAAAGGATTTAGAGAAACCAAGAAGAGAGCTACGATGAAACTGACGATTACATGAAAGATTGTTAAGATGTGTCATAGACACAGATTGGAGAGACATAGCAGATGATGAAGCCATTGATAAGAAAAATACTTAAAAGAAGAAACTTTTTGACTTGATTGGTTTAATGGTGTTAAATGAAGAAGAGATGGGACTTATATTACTTTATGTGGTTTCTATGGAATGTATCCATATGTGTATATTTATAGATAAGACATATTGGGAGAATAGTGATGATTGATGAAGTACAGCAACACGTGCGTAAATTACCAAAAATGGTCTGTAACTAGAAAGATTCTTTCGAGTCAATTTGGATTTGGTTTCCATGGTCGGAAGGTCGTCTAAGCTTTTGGGGTCTAAGTTTGAATTCTTATTATTTTTGGCCGGCCGCAGACTACAAAAAGAACAATGAAAAACGTGCGTCATATAAATCATACCAATTTATACCTAAGATTTATATTTATTTTTTTAAATTGATTTAATTTTTTTAATTACTAGTGAAGAATATAGAGCTTATATTTTAATTTAAATGTGTTTGTTAACTTTAAAAAATCATGATGATTCATTAATAATAAATGGAAAAACAAAAACTAAGTGATTATTAAATGGGAAAATATCATAAAAATCCCGAACTTTCAAATTTGGGACGATTTAATCCTGAGCTTTAAAGAAGTCATTTTAATCACGAAGTTTTGTTGATTTTTCCGTAAAATAGTTAAGTTTTGTTGACTTCACTTATTTAAGCATGACATTTAATTTTTGTTAAAAACTTGAAGATATGGTTAACTATATGTGAGATGCTTCAGTTTAGCCTAAATGACCATGTTTCTTAGACGACAAAACGACGTTGGAAGTCGTTTTCTTCCTCCATGGGTCCGTGCTATGGCAACAATTCAACAAGAAGTAACGAGAATTTGTGGATTTTTCTAGGGTTAAGGAGTTAGATTTGTGAATTATGAATCGATTTTAGAATATAGTTTCTTCAGTTTGTTAAATGACTTCGTTTTGTGGTTTGAAACGAAAGCAACTCACGGATAGTTAACCCCGTCTTTGCAATTTTAAGAGAAACTAAACGTCGTGTTTAAATTGGCTAAGTCAACAAAACTTAGCTATTTTAAGGAAAATCAATAAAATTTTGTGATTAAAATAACTTTTTTAAAGTTCGGGATTAAATCGTTCCAAATTTGAAAGTTCGGGATTTTTATGAAATTTTTCCCATTACTAAATATGTTATTTTGCATTTTCAAAACTTGAAAAGTAACCAGTCTTGATATAATGAATTCGTCGTTCTTGACTAATTTAGATGAAAATCTACAATCTTGTTCTAAAATTGTTGATGATACATGTTATCTACAACCAATTCGTCGCACTAGTAACAAAATATACCCATGCTAATTAACTTGGAAGACCATTGGATTCAAACGAATATATTGGCGATATATTATTGCCATCTAACATCGAGTTGGACTAGTGGATCATTTCCACCGCATATATGGAAGATGCGTCAAGATAAGAATTCATTGTCTCATTGATAAGAAAACAAATAATAATAATTATTATTATTTTTTTTTTTTTTGTTAAAAGGCATTCACGAAAACAAAGAAATTGGCTCCACAGTAATGGAAGATATTTGTAAGTAAATAATCTAGATGATAAAATTGCCAACAAATATAAACTAACATTATGGAGGATTAGTTTGATTGTTCATGGAACTTGGTTTTTGCTCATAATCAAGAAAAACTTATCTAATATATGGAAATCACGAGACTGCGCAATAAGCCATAGTGAAAACCATGCATGGAGTTAGTGGGTAAATATCAAAATGGATGATTGTTTGAACATATGTATAATGACCAATTTAAAATTAGTCGTTAAAAATTAATCACATAAAACATAAAGTACTAAGTTACTAACTGAATATTTTTTTCACAAAATAAAGATATTTTTTAGACATTGTTTTCCTAGTTTTCACTAAAAGTATACACTTTATTTATTTTTGATTAAATTTGAAGGTCTTTGAATGAGCCTGCTTATATGGTTTCTACTACAAATTGTTATATGCAACTTAGTTAGCGTCCAAATTACATAGATACATGCAACTTATTCCCTAAATGTCATCATCAAAGATTCGATTACGTTGGTCCCCAAACTTCGATCTCTGAGTCTTTTGCAATTAATTTTTACAATAATTGTTTTCGACAACGATCTTTTTTTTTTTTTTTGTTTACGCAAGTACAAGAATATATATTTGTCATAGAAAAATATCATCATACATAAACGAGATTAATTAGTATAATTGCTTATAACTCCGCTAGGCTCCAACGCCTTAGCTTCCGGCGCCGGCTTCACATCTTTAGTCGGAGGAACTGGTGTTCCGGTAAGCTCCGCCGGCAAATCATTAGCCAATCCTTTAAGGTAAAAAGTGTAGAACAGTTTCGTCGGGTACACAAGCTGCTGAAGCTTAACTTGCCCGTACGCACCTTCGAAGACCCCAGAGCCACCAGTGATGGCCAAGAACGAGTCCTCGTACGTCAAGTACGGTCCTTGTACAGCTAAGTGGCCATAGTCTCCGAAGTAGAAGCTGTAGGTAGCTTCGAATCTATCACCATTCTTCTCGGGGACATGTTCAATCACCACGCAGAGACCGGCGGTGATTCCTACACGTTTCTTGAGATCTCCGGTGTAGAGTTTGTTGGTGAATGGGACAAGATCTCCGAGACCGAACATTAAGCTGAAGGCGTTTTTAAGAATTTTGGGGCTGTGTCTATCTAATTCGTTCAGCTCGTATACGCTCAGTTCTTGAATTTTACCTAAAATTATCACAAGGAGAAAACAAAATTAATATGTGAATAGGGTACATGAATATAATGAGATAGAAGATCATGTTTTAGAAAACTTACTTGGTCTAGAGTCTTGGGAGATAGCTTGAGTTGGAGTTAGTTTCTTCTTGGGAGTGAAACTTGATCGAGAGGAGAAATTTAGACCGTTGGATGAGACTCCAAGATTTTGGGAGGATTTAGAGAAACCAAGAAGAGAGCTTCGTTGAGATTGCTTATTGCAAGAGAGATTGTTGAGAGTTGTCATAGAGATAGATTGGAGAGACATAACAGAGGAAGCCATTGATCAAAGAAGACTTTTTAAGACTTTGGTGTTTTTTTTCTTTTTTAGGCTGTTTTATAAGATATTGGACTTTGGTTTATGTGATGAATGAGTTGAGTTATACGAAATGTTTATGTTTATTTATAGATAAGAGATTGGATGAATGGTGATGATTGATGAAATAGCACATGTGCGTAAATTCTCCAAAGATTCTTTTGGAGAATTTGGATTTTGGTTTTAATTGGTCGGCTAGTGCCAAGTGGTATATCAGAAGTTTCGATGGGTCTAAAGTTAAGTACATTTCTGGCCGGTTCCTAAAACTACAAAATGAAAAATGGAAAACGTGCGGCTAGTGAAGCTTTGAATCGTTATTTCTAACTAGATTTTTTTCACACAATAATATATATATACTTCTTACTAAACTTGATATTGTTTAGTTTTTTGTTAGATGAAATGAACTTGCTCCTCTATTATTATGCTTAAGTTACTGTTTCGATTCTAAATTTTTAGAGTTTATTTTATTTATTTTTCTAATCACAATTGTAGTCGAGAAATTTATGATAGTGTTGTTCATATTTACTGTCTCTGTTTCACTAAAAAGTGTCACTTTGACATAATGCACACAAATTAATAAAACAATGAATTATACATATATGTCCCTATTTAATGTGTTTAATAATTTAATTAATTTTAGATTAAGAGTAAAATTAGTAAAATTTGTGTTAAAAATGCATTGAAAATCTAAAGTGATACTCTTTGTGAAACAAAATTAAAATTCTAGTTCTTTGTTAAACATAGAGAGTATTTATTTTCACAACAGTTACAATCTAACACTTAAGTATATCTTCACTCTATCACGTTTTGCTTTTTCTTATTTTGAGATGTTAATTTTGTGATAATACTTAACTATTTTTTTTTTAAATAGTGTATAAATATTAGAGAGTTGTAGTTTTACTTGAAAAAAAATACTCTTTAACGTATCTTAAATGGTTAACAAAAAAAAAAACGTATCTTAAATATTTTGGTCCAGTCAGCTTTTGATCTAGTTAATGAAATCTCAAATTTGTTTTCTCTTTTGATTATGTTAGAAAGTTGTAGTTCTACTTGAAAATAAGTCTTTCCAGTAAATTATGCTACATAAGTTACATATCATATTTTTTTTTAACAGCTTACATGTCATTTTTTATATATTTTGTGAGTAACATATTTTAAATATTTTAAATATATACATTAAATTTTTTTAAAATGTTGTTGGACACATTAGATGGAGAGATAACTCTCTAATTATATATATATATAGATTATTTAGTATTTACATCTTCTATTAAATAAACAAGAATGTAAAATTAAATATAATTAATAGTTTGAGATGAAGGGAGGAGAGAACATGTCAAAACAACTCTGAGAAGTAATATCAGTCATCTTGATGATACTACCATCGTCAAGCTTGTACACTTTAAGAACTTCCCTCTGGTCCGTCGCTCCATCATAATAAGGGAAGTAGACAGAGTTCTTCAAACATCCATGGTACTCAGAGGCTACGACAGTAAAACAACTGGACCAAGCAACAATGAGTGCCTTGTCTCCCAAGGAATTAACATAAACCCATTTTGTCAAATCCTTGTCCATCTTATTAACTATAAAACCAAAGGTACTCTTTTTAAATTAATCTTTAAAATGATGAACAACGCATAGATCTCCACAATATTCGACGAGCCTCGTCTCTATGCTACTATCATATATATAGTCGTGGAATATATTTGGAGGTGTCTGTCGAGCAATGCTAAGTTGTGATAAATCAATACACCAAATTGTTCCGTATATGTCAACGGCATAGATATGTCCCATGTGATGTATAATGTCCGAGAAATCTACGCAACATTGGTTTTTAATTGTGTTCCAACTTCTACTTCCTTCTCTAGTATTGCAGCACCATATTGTCTTATCTATGTCGACTGCAAAAAACATACTGTCAAGGAAAACAAATCTAGAGAATATTAATGATGGCTCACACTCAATCTTGAAAGATTGGAAAATCTCTGAAACCCCAACGTTCAAAAGGTCTAGGGTTTGGTGGGAACGGGTGATGCTCTTGTCGGAGAGAGGACACAAGAGATTAATCTTCTTACGATATTTGGAAGCTTGTCTGGTTTGGATTAGCCATCCTTTGTTAGGACATGAAGAAGAAGAAGAAGGGAGAGTTATACGGAAGTAAGTTGTGGGAAAGAGAGCAACCTCTGTTTCCTTGGTGGAGGTAAGAAGGTCTTGGTCAAAGCGAAACTGAAGACGCTCTTTAGACATCGCAACCGCAGAACGCCATGATTTACAAACGCTACGGATACGGAGGACGTCGATGTTGGAGGAATAACGATTTGCAATTAGATCAAGGAGATCATCAGGTAAATGAGACCACTGATCAGTTCTATCCATCTTTTTAATCTATCCACGCAGTTCTCTCTTGTTGTTGTTATCGCTTGTCAGAAAAGAACAACAACTTCAAAACAAAGCTCTTAAGATTGAAACTTCAAAATATATATGCAAGATTTCCTCCAAACTCATGATACGAAAAACTGATATATGGCATCATCACTCTTTATAATGTGTGAGATCGAGATATGTACTTATATCTTGATTTTATATAATTTAAAGAAAAAAATAAATATAAATTTAAATTAAAGCCTTAATAAGTTACAGAATATTCTAGAATTAATAAGATATTTTGTTAATATTAATTGCTTACAGTAAATTGTTAATTAATTTCTAAACAAATAAAGTAAGGTTTCTTCCAAACTCATATTCTTAGAAACATTTATGTGACATATGTCTACTTTCATTTGATCATAATACTATTATTTAGTTTTTAACAAACAAAAAAACTATTATTTAGTTTCATAATTATATTTAACTAAACATATCATCATTTTTAAATTCATATATTTTAATCCTAATTTTATATTATTTAAAGAAAGGGAAAAAAATTACTTTACTCTAAAATAAGATATAGAAGATTTTAATATTAATTAAAACAGTTTGTTAATGTCATCTTTTAAAATGTTAATGGTTTGAAGTTTGAACTAACTTGTTAATAACTTTTTAGATAATAAAGTAAGTTTTTTTCTAAAAGTATTATTAAACCAAACACAACTAACCACTATGTACTTTATAAATATAGTAAAACTTATAATAAACTGATCAAATGTATACATTTTACTATAAGATCATGCACATCTTCTTACCTAGTTAATTAATTGATTTGTATGATGTATAAGATGAAACCGGAGACAGAAAGAAAAAGTTAGATATTGTTCATGAAATGGTTAATGATGTAACTTCTTGATATAGTTCATGAAATGGTTAGAATTTCTGAACCAGTTGTGGTAATAAGAATCGTATGCTCAAACTGTGCGGCCGGACCACCATCTGCTGTCACAGTTAACAACACATCTCATCCTTCTCGTAGAAACTTTGAATCAATCTTGTGTCCCACGTTTCCACCATAAGAAAAATTGGAATCATTCTACTCTGAGCAGATAAAGAGAGACCATCTCTGTCCACGAGACTCTCGTTCTTGCTTCATTCCGACTCAATAAGTTATTATAAGTCATGACCATCTCAGTCCACGAGACTCTCGTTCTTGCTTCATTCCGACTCATAGGTTTAGTCTAGGTTGTCTCTTTAATCTGCTGCTTGAATTGCTTCGATTGTTCTCGGATTCGTTGCTTGGTCTGGTTTTTTTGTGGTAGTTAGTATCGGTGGTCTCATTGTTTGCATTGGAAGTCTTTGTTTTCGCCTTCTCTCTTGTCGTTCTGCTTTGATGCAACATTAATGCTCTGTCTTGGTGCAACACCAATGCTCTGTAGGACTGATGAAGCACCAGCCACGGGTTCGACGTCCTTACATGTGACTGTGAACACGTAACAAAAGACTTATTATGCATTAGGAAATGACAATATTGAACTGATATTATTTTTTGAAAATAGAGGTAGGTAATAAGATTATCAGTTGTTTATGAGAGTTTGCAGAAGAGCATACTCATAACAACGAAAGGAACATGAGATTTTGTTCTATCTAGACTTATTTACTTTACTGCTTATGATGAACTTCTTAGTTGCAAGGATCTAAATACTTGGTTGGCACAAGTACAAGGTCGTTTTTCTTGTTGACGGTGAGTCCAGGAGCTTCTTCTATGTCGATATCCTCGACCACCATGCCATCTGGTAACTTCCAGTCAAAATGATACAAAAGATTTGCAAGGCCAAACTCCACCATTGTTGTCCCCATATAAATTGCAGGACAGATTCTCCTGCCGCCCCCAAATGGTAACAGCTCAAAGTTTTGTCCTTTAAAATCAATGTTATTATCCATAAACCTCTCTGGGAGAAACACTTCAGGGTCTTTCCAGGTCTCGGGATCACGCCCGATAGCCCAAACATTCACATGAAGCCGAGTCTTGACAGGAATCGTGTAGCCGTCGATCTGAATTTTAGACGTGACTTCTCTTGGGACTAGGAGAGGTGCTGTAGGATGTAGCCTCCATGTTTCTTTGATCACCATTTTCAGGTAATGGAACTGTTCTATTTCATCCATGCTGATTATTGCTTTTTTCCCCATTTGGGTTCTGATTTCACTTTGAACTTTTTTCATCACTCGTGGATTCCTCGCAAGTTCTGTCATTGCCCATGTCATTGTTATTGCAGAAGTATCTATTCCCGCGAGAAGAACGTCCTGTCATTTAAAACATATCAGAACCTCAAGTACTATGACATAAAGGGATTGCTAAAACTTTTTTTGAAGTTACCATCAAGATTGCTTTGATATGGTTTCTTGTGAGTTTATCATTTCCAAGAAGTGCTTCTTCTTTCTCAAACCTTAAGAGCAAGTCCACAAAATCTTCACTCCCTTGTTTATTTCCCTGTTTATGCAGATCAAACATTTGTTCATAGAACAAATTGAGATCTCGCTTGCTTCTCTCTCTCCGGCTTTGCAAACCCGTCAACCAATCGATGATCCATCCGACATACGGAATAAAATCTGAGGCAGAAAAGCTTCCTAACATCTCGAGTGCTTCATGGACTATTTTATTGAATCTTTCACTGTTGAGCACAGTTCCCTCAAAACTCACACCAAACGCTGCCCTGCATACTACACTTACAGTTAAAGCAAGACACTTCTTGTTCAAGTTAACCGTAGTCTTCTGAGAAGCTGATTTCGCAATTGAATCGATCAGTTTCTTGACCTCCTCGTCCTTAATTGGTTGAATCGAGTGAACTTGTTTAGTACTAAAGAGTTCTTGAACACAGAGCTTCCTTACTTCTTTCCAGTAATCATCATAAGGAGAGAAAGCAATGTCCAAATAGTTGTAAGAAAGCTCTCTTGGCCCTAAAGAATGATCAAGATTCGAGATTCAAGATTATTCAAGATTCAAAATTAATGGTGTTTGTTGAATCCTACCTACGAAACAGAGAAACAGAAATAGAAACTTGAGTACCTGTCAAGCTTGGACGGGTACAACAATGGAGGTCATGAACTTTGAGAACTTGTCTTGCTGTTTCAGCAGAAGAAACTATGACTGTTGGGACTCTTCCAAGCTTCAAATGCATCACAGGACCATACTTCTTTGAGAGTTTCCATAGAGACTGGTGTGGTAGTTCTCCGAGCTGGTGTAAGTTTCCGATGACCGGAAAGCCAGGAGGAGACGGTAATTGCCCATGTTTCTTCTTGTGGTTGAAAACAGCGAGAAGAATACAGATGAGGAAGAGAAGTGAGAAAAGCCAAATGTTAACCATTTCGGATTTGATATAGGGAAAGCTTTACAAATGTATAAAGAGAAGCTCCTTGCTGTCTTCAGTTATCTTCTTACTTTAATACTTTCATTATTAAAAGTATTTATTTTTTATTTTTCTTTGTAAAACCAAATAATTTTCTTGTTAGAGTAAACTCGTAAAACCATCCTCATTGCTAGTATCTTAGGGGATTAGCAATGATCTTATCCCCTAACATACTAGCAATGAGGATGCCCTAGTCAACCACAACTAGACCAAAAAGGTAGGAACACAAGATTTTGATTTATTTAGTACAATATGTGTTGTATTGTATTTTGTAATCTCAAGAGAAAAAGACATAGTTTACGTGATTAATGATTTAACTGCCTCACAGGAACAAGCACAAGCTCATTTTTCTTGCTTGTTTTACTATAAGATCATGCACATCTTCTTACATAGTTAATTAATTGATTTGTATTTGTAAGATGAAACGGGAGAAAGAAAGAAAAAGTTAGATATAGGTGCTGTTCGTTTCTTCATCCAGCAGATTCATCTAGGTGGAGATGAAAACTGATGTTCGTTTAAGCCAATTTTTCGGAACAGTTAGATGGTGCAGTTAAATGAGTTTTATAAAACTCATCCAAAAAAGGCTGAAAATTCGGCTGAGCCGAGACGGAGCAGCTGGCTTGAGCCGGTTCAGCCAATATCGCAAAAACCCTAAAATACCCTTGTATAATTAATCATATTGCCTTTTCTTCTTCTAGCCTCCAGAGAACAACAACGAAGAATAGGGTTTTCCTTAGACTCTCTCCTCTTTCAAGCTCTCGCCGGATCAAGCTCTCGTCGGAGCAATCTCTCGCGGCGCCGGATCAATCCCTCACCGGATCGATCTCTTACCGGAGTATAGGTTTACAAACCCCCTTCTCTCTCTCTCTCCATCCCTATCTCTCTGTCTCTCTTGCTTTCTCTCTTTATCTCTCTGGTTTCTCTCGCTCCCTCTCTTTATCTTGCAGTAAGAAGAAGGATTTGTTCTTGGGTTTACTCTAAAATGGTTATTTTGAAGTAATAAGTTGTAGATATTAGTTGGTTTTGATTCATTTGAAAACGAGATTAGAAAACTAGTTTAGAACTAGTCTCAAGCTTCTCTCCGTTGTTATGTTTGATTCATTTTTGATTCATTTGAAAACTAGTCTCAAGCTTCTCTCTGTTGTTATGTTTATGTCAAAATGTGAAACAATGTTGTATTTAAGTCTTGTGATGATGATGGTTTGTGATTACTCGTATGCTTGTGATGATTATGTTACTCGTATATGCTTGTGATGATGGCTTGCTGGTCATGTCCTTGTGTTTTTGGCTAGTTTCTGCTTCATGTTTATAGCTTCTGTTTTGATGTCTCTGAATCTTATGCATGAATATCACTTTTTCATGGTTGTTGATGTGTTTGCTCGATCTTTTTGTGGAATCTAGGGTTGTTCTTATGGCTTGTTAATGTAGTGTATCTAGTGTTACTAGCTATATGATTTGTGTTGTGTGTTTTCTTAGATTCTTTTACCCGTTTACATACCCATTTACACTTGAGCTACTACTTTGACCTTGTAGCCTGCCACAATAAAGATGCTTAATATTTAGAAATTCAGCAGTGGAATCGTTTCTTTTTGCTCTTTGTTATATTATACAGCGGCATGGATTTTATTGTGTTGTGATAAAACTGTATCTAAAAAATACCATAATTGCAAAGTTCAATTATGCACAAAAGTTATGTATGCCAATACCTTTTTTATACTTGTTTTGGTTGGATTAGTTAGTTGGTATTATTCTGTTTTTGTGTTTCGTTGCCGTTTATGGGCTGTTCCTTTGTGTTCATGTTTAACACGATGGTGTCTTTGTCAAAGACAGCCATGATTGTATATGATGATGACTTGTGATTACTTTAATGTTTGGTTTTGTTGAGGGTGCAAAGGAGGCACATGATTAAAACTTATTGTTTTCCATGGTTCATGCTTATAATGTTGTCGTAGATATTCTCATGGTTATGGTTTTTCATGGTTTACTCTCTTTCTCATTTAAGGAATTTGCTTACCTTAGTGATTTTTTAATTGTGTAGGACATATAATTTCTTCAAGGCACCTCTTCATTGCAACAATGACAACTGTCCATGGCTCTGATGTGAGTATCTTCCCCTCTAAACTCATATTTTATTGAATGCATTTTGGGTTTCTGTAGTTTAGATTTTTTACCAAAAGTTATGTTTGTATATCAACTAAGAGTCTTGCATGGAGTGATGAGCAAACCCGTTTCTATCTCCAACTAAGAATTGATGAGAAGCTTAAAGGAAACATAAGAAAACATGTTGTGAATGATGCTGGGAGACAATCAATCATTGATAAGTTTTATGAAGCGTATGGGGAAAGACATCCATGGAGAAAATTTGGGATCAAATTTACTACTTGCAAGAAACAGTATGAGAGTTTTAGAAAACTGACTCACAACAGAACTGGACTTGGTTGGCATTCAAATGGGAGCATAAACATGTCTGAGGACTGGTGGAACGACCGATGTAAGGTATGTAGATTCTATTATGGTTTCCAAAAGTCAGTTTTAACTTCTTCTATGATTTCTAAGTCTTTGTTTGTTTTTTTCATTGTTTTGTTTTCAGGAGTGGCCTGGAGCTAGGAAAATTAAAGATAAACCAGTAGCAAATGTTGACTTGATGGAAAGAGTTTTTGGTACAGTTCATATCAGTGGGGCTGAAGGTTGGACTGCGCAGCAAGGTGAAGAGTATTTGGACACAATGCATTTGAATCAAAATGATGATCCTGTTGTTGAGGAATCAAGGCAAATCCCTCTTACTCAAAATGTTGATCTTGATGATGCTGAATCATGGCAAATCCCTCCTACTCAAAGCAATGTTGGTAATGGACTCTCATCTTCAAGTAAGTCAAGGGCTGGTAGAAAAAGATCAAGGTCTGTACAATCAAGAGAAGTTGTAGCAGAAGTGTTGAGGGATAGTGCTCAGTCACGGGATAAGATTCTTGCCCACAAGAACCAACTAATAGAGAGTCACCCTGAGTTGAGTTGTTGTCAGCTTCGAGCTATGGAGGTTCTACACTCGCTGCCTGCTATAAGGATGTGGTCTCCTTTATATAAAGCATCAATTCAACATCTCAAGAAAGATATTTCCAATCGTCAAACGTTTTTATATTACAAAGATGATGAGAACAAAATTCTCTACTTGGAGTTTGCAACTGGTCAAAGCAGGGATGCATGAGTTCACAACTAGATATTCTAATGTTTGGGTCACAACTAGTGTCTTATGTCTTATGTTTTTCTAAACTCTAGTGTCTTTCAATATGTATGAGATCTTATTATATGTATTAGAAGTATTTTTCTTTGGTTTACTTATCAGAATTTTAATGTTTTGGTAACCGTTAATGTTGGTCACAGGTCTTTCACTATTAACCTGGATATTAACGTGGAACTGACGAAGCATTCCTTGAAGGATCTAATCAAGTTCATTCAAGTTTAAACTCAAGTCAAATTATGCAGGTATATACTATTCATTTATTACGGTTCAAGGACTTTAGTTTATAGCTTATGTTCTGGTTCTATGACTTCAGTTCTAAAACAGATTTTGAACTGATTTGT